TTTTTGTCTCCAGGTCTATTGAGCAACAAAAGACAAATGGTGACTCAGCTGGCAATAACGTTCTCGGATAATTCATGGGGAATCCATTTCCCTTTCTTCAGAATTTTTTTCATTTCATGTAATGTATCTCATATAAATTCTTCCAGGGTTGGGAAAGTTACTTCGTGAAAGTAACTAGTTACAGTTACAAGTTACTGACTTTCAAAAGTACACATGTAACATGTTTGAGTTACAGTTACTTAAAAAGTAAAGAGTCGTTACTTTTCAGTTACTTTTCTATAATAAATGTGCTATTATTTTAAATTTCGTAATTGTGTAAATTTCAAAATTAATTTAAATTATACCTTAGTTAATTATACTTTATTATGAATATAAAATGTTATATATTACAATGTTACTTTATTATAAATATATTGAATAATGAATAATACTTCGAATACTTCCGCATATGCTGACCATGGCATTTTAAGATCTTTTTCTAATGATTGCGATGTCTTATCCATTGCTTCAATTTTTAAGTAACTGGAACTACGCAGTGTACGAGGGCAATCTGAAAAGTTTTGAGCCTCAACATGAAAACAATTGGCAGAAAAGTTGAATGTGAGCCGAGTAGCAATTTGTGAACGATTACAAGCGATGGGAAAGATCCAAAAGATGGGAAGATGAGTGCCACATGAATTGAATGACAGGCAATTGGAAAATCGAAAAATCGTCAGTGAAATGCTGCTTCAAAAGTATGAAAGGAAGTCATTTCTGCATCGAATAGTAACGGGTTATGAAAAATGGATTTATTTCGAAAATCCCAAGCGAAAAAAATAATGGTTATCACCTGGCGAAGGCGGCCCATCGACTGCAAGGCCAAATCGCTTTGGTCGCAAGACCATGCTCTGTGTCTGGTGGGACCAGGTTGGTATCGTATATTATGAACTGTTGAAACCTGGAGAAACAGTTAATACTGATCGCTACCAACAACAAATGATCAATTTGAACTGTGCATTGATCGAAAAACGTCGAAAAGCGTCACAATACGCTCAAAGACATGATAAGGTGATTTTGCAGCATGACAACACGCCGTCTCATACAGTAAAACCAGTCAAAGAAGTGTTGAAATCACTTGGATGGGAAGTTTTATCGCACCCGCCGTACTCTCCAGACCTGGCTCCATCCGACTACCACCTTTTCGCATCGATGGGCACGCGCTTGCAGAGCAGTACTTAGCCGATTTCGAAGAAGTTAAAAAAATGGCTCGATGAATGGTTTAGCTCAAAGGAGAAACAGTTCTTTTGGAATGGCATCCATAAATTGCCTGAGAGATGGGCAAAATGTATAGAATCAAATGGCCAATACTTTGAATAAATATATTTTAACTATCCATTGTGAATAACGTGTTTTCTTTAGCGAAAAAACCGGAAAGGAATTACCGACACACCTGGTATGACTCTACTCGTCAAGTACCATTCTGGTACTACAATGGTATATACTTTGAAAGATGACTGTGAAAATTTCAGCCATTTTGGACGCTCAGTTATTGTTTGACAGTCATTTGTGTCAGTCGATTTCAGTGTTTTTTGTAAAAATATAAAAAATCGAATATCGTGCCGATTAAATTCTTGCATTCGAAAAGCAATACGCCTGTGCAAATAAAAACCTAGTTGGGCGCTGTTTACGGGGACTCTGTCCCATCATTTGCCACCGTGAAAAGATGGACAGCTGAATTTAAACGTGGTCGTACCAGCTTGGCTGATGATGAACATTCGGGGACGGCCAAAAATTGCGACCACCAGCGATAACATTGAAAATGTTCACCAAATGGTACTGAACGACCGTCGAATCCAGGTTAGATTGATAGCAGAGGCTATGGGTATATCGAAAGAGCGCGTTTGTCATATATTGACTGAAGAATTGAACATGCGTTAGTTATCCGCGCGTTGGGTGCCGCGCTTGCTCACTTTGGACCAAAAACGTATTCGCCGGTCGTCATGGTCAAAATTTACGAATTGGACTTCGAATTGGTTGACCACCCACTGTATTCACCAGATCTGGCCCCCAGCAACTTTTTCCTTTTCCCAAGTTTAAAGTTCGCTTGGAGGACAGAGATTTTCATCGAACGAGGAGGTCATCGCATATGTAAACGCCTATTTTGCGAAGCAAGACGCCAACTACTATTTGGAAGGTTAAAAGAAGTTAAAACATCGCTGGGAAAAATATATCGACTTAAAAGGAGACTATGTTGAAAAGTAAAACTACATTTGACCCGAAAAAATACTTGTTTCTATGTTAGGCTCAAAACTTTTCAGACTACCCTCGTACTCACGCTAAACGCAGGTTATGTTAATGACTAAGGACTGGCGACGCGCGACGGAAATGTCTAATAGGAATTTAATTTTTTGAAAAGAATACAGATTGCGTTCGAAGAGGAGACTATCAGCGCTATTGCGTCATTTTATCTTGTTTACATCTAATGAATGATAAAGATGGCGTAATAGCACACTTTCCGAACGCAGCTAGAATAACTAATGCTTATTAGATATCGAGTATCGCACGTAGCATTATAATGTTACCCACAGATGTCTATACTATAAATATCTGTGGTACTACTAGAAACTTAGGTTTGAAATATATAAAGTAACTATTAAAGTAACTATTAAATTAGTTACCAGTTGCATTAGTTACTAGTTATCAAATAAATGTAACTAAGTTAAGTTACAGTTACAAATGAAAAATGGAACGAAGTTAAGTTATAGTTACTAAAAAAAAGTAACTGTAATTGTACCTTCGTTACAAGTAACGAGTTACTTCCCAACTCTGAATTCTTCATCTCGAAGTACTTACAGTGCTCTCATTAACATGTAACCTCTCATTAACATTAATGCTGTCACACGTCAGTCAGTTTTTGTGTATAGAAAATAGGAATCGCTTCCTCTTTGTAATGATCTGTATAGCTCATGAACAATCCTGACCTGTTGGCTCGTGAACGCTATCTTTCGCTAGAATAACCTAAAACTAACCTAGAACAATATGAAATCAATCTCCCGTGCGGCCTAACGTATATTCCGGCCCGCTCGGCCTAACGTAATCTCCGGCCTGTTCGGCCTAACGTAAACTCCGGCCCGTACGGCCCAATGTTACTTTTTGCCCAACGTTTGGCGTGCCACAATCTCCGACTCGTACGGCCTACAACTCGAAATGCACCTCATTTCTCGGTAACTACTGGGCGGTGACTCGATAAGCTCCTTATCTGAGGTCCAATACAATCTCACTCACGAACGATTTCTGAATAAACATGTTAACATCTCCCGTATTGCTAAATTGCGTCACGAAAAGTCGTAATCCTACACGTTTCCTTCACTTACTATTTTAATATATCACTTCTTTTGTACAGTAGAATAATCTTTTATCGAGTTTTATTATAGTTTTATTATAGTTTGTTATAGTTATAGGTTTTATTTGTAAAAACTTATGTACATACATATCTTGAAAAAAAGAAATAAGTTGAATTTGAGGTTTCTAAAAATAACAATACGTGTTGCGCGTGTACTTGGCGCCTTCTTTACCTTTTTGTTTAAAAAGGTAAGTTTTATATTTTTGATATCTTCGCATGTAGTTAGGTAAGTTTTATTTGTAAAAACTTATGTTACGTACATATATACAGGGTGTTTGATAGCTGATCATGCAGACGAAAGTTGGAGATAGATTGGGTATAGCCGAGAAGAAAAGTCATGTACCATAATGTCAAAGTGGCAATAATTACTGAGTTATTAATTAAAACATGTGAGCCAACGAGCGCGTAGAGAGCGGAGGGCGGCCGCAGTAAGCACGTAGACATTTGATACAGGCGGAGTCAATGAGTAGCGGTAGACAAGCGCGCGCGGCGAGGGGCAACGTAAGCGACAAGAGGCGATCGCGCGCGACGAGGAGCGAGCGAGCTTTTTCTTTACAGCTTTTTCTTTATAGCTCGCTCGCTCCTCGTCGTTCGCATCGCTCGCGCTTCGTCGCGCTCGCTCGCCTCTTGTCGCTTGCGCTCGCTCGCTCCTCGTCGCGCGCGTTCGCCTCTTGTTGTTTACGTTGCCTCTCGCCGTGCGCGCTCGCCTACCGTTATTCGCTGACTCCGCCTGTATCAAATGTCTACATGCTTACTGCGGCCGCCCTCCGCTCTCTACGCGCTCGTTGGCTCACATGTTTTAATTAATAACTCGGTAACTATTGCCAATTTGATATTATGGTACATGACTTTTCTTCTCGGCTACACCCAATCTATCTCCAACTTTCGTCTGCATGATCAGCTATCAAACACCCTGTATATTGAAAAAAGAAATAATTTGAGTTTGAAATTTCTAAAAATAACATTAATATAACATTACACAAATTACATTAACATAACATTATATAAATTATATATAACATGTACATTACATTATATATATCATCTCCACTACGTTCGCTCTCCACTAGTATTGAAAGAATTTTATTCACATAAAACATTATTGTGTTTCACTATTTCTGTCATGCAAAATGTAAGCTTATTATATATAATGTATGATTGGATTTTGTACAAGAAGACTTTGCATAAGAAAAGAGGGACGATGTTCACAATTTTTGCTTTATTCAACCCATAACATTCAACCCATTACAATTTAATTATAAAGTAATACAATACAACGTCCTATAAGACTCAAGAAACAACGTTTTTCAAATGTCAACTTTGACATTTTATATAAGTAATCGCTAATAAAAATTATTATTTTTAATAATTAATTGATAATGAATAATTAATTGATTTTGACATTTGGACATTAGTCTTCGATGCTAAATGTCGTACATGAAAATTGTATACTTTGATGAAAATCAATTTACCTTGCTACACAGTGTTTTTGTAAATGATCCATATAAAGAAAATAACAAACGAAGCTTTCACAATTATGTCGATCCAATACATTCTGATGATACCGAAAACAAATAAATATGTTCATTATTATATATTTAACGACCATATAGTCGAAATTTACAATTTGAGTCGAAGCGAATAACTTTATTTGTCGAAAAACTCGTTTTTTAATCAGCCTAGCATTAACAACTCGATGAGGTGGAACTCAACTTTTTATTTAAAAATTGCCATATGTTATCGAGAAATTAAAAAAAATTTACCTGCTAGCTGTTCTGCTTTAAAATGTAGACGTTAACAAGACGTTAATCTTTTATAAAAATGAGATCGTAAAGAGAGAAAGACGTAAAAGATATTCATCAATAGACAGAATAATGTAAATTTCAGATCATTTTGCAATAAAAAATGTAATAAAATCTGGGTTTTCACCTGTTAAACTGCGATTTTGCTTTGTCCAAGTGATCCATACGTTCATTCAGAAGATGTGTTTTAGCTCCAATTATACAGTCTCTATGAAAGATACGATAAAAATAAATAGTTTCATTTATCTACTAGTAAACACCTATGTGTGACATTTTATAATTAGTAAATAAAACAGGTGTGTCACTTACTCAAAATATGTTATTACGTTAACTCCTTCAGAGAGGACCGTTCCATATTCAAATTCTTGTTGATCGTTTAGTATTTCATCAGACAGACTTATCGCACTTTCATTTCGTATATCCCAATTGTTTAGTGTGAAATGTGCCAAAATGCAATTATTTATAAAAATTTTCCTCTGCAATGCCATCAACCTGTGATTTAAAGAAGGTCGAATCAATTTGGCAAAAAATCATGTTATCTACACAGTAAGTATACGTGTTTATTGTAAAGAAATAGTGAGAAAAGAATTGTTGAGTTTTATCTTAAAATGTAGGTAATATTCGTTATTTTAAACACATTATCTGAGCTTAGCTCAGATTACATCTGAGCTTAGCTCAGACACATTATTGATCTTAGCGTCTATAGTATACAAGGTGTCCTATTGTAAACAGTCGATCCGAATATCTCGAAAATTGAGTCCGATAAACAAAAATGTTTCAAACAAAGTTGCATGGTTTCAAAGGAAACATAAAACAACTATATCAGCTTGTTTACAGAAGATGCACTTTCAAGATATTCATTGTTTATTACTTTATTTAAATAGAAACCCTAATTTTTTATTATATCTTCTGTTTCTACTAATTAATTTGAACAACTTTATCTGAAATATTTTATTCGCCTAATATTTTTTAAGATATTTAAGAAAAACTTGGTAATTTTTTTAATATTTAACTTACGATATCTCGCTAACTATTTGTTGGAAGAAAAAATGTTATTAGATTTTTTTATTCTAAATGATCTCAAGAATACATTGTTATTGGTTTGGCAACTAAATAATTGCGAATTTTTTAAGAAAATAAAAGACAATTTTTTCATGTAACGAAATAACTTTATGCAGTATTATATATTGCCTATTTTTATCAATGACTTTTTGCTCTCTTTCAGGCATCGTTATAATTCAATGTTCATAAAACTTCTGGCTTTTATAAGCAAAAAGCGAAAACAAGTGCGATTTGACATTATCATTATTGAAAATTTTCCCATTCAAGAAGTTTTGCAAAGAACAAATAAATAATAATTTAATGGTGCAAGGTCAGGACTATATGGTGGATGTGGCAACATATCCCAACCAAGCTTCAATAATTTTTGCCGAGTGACCAAAGTGTGTGGCCTTGCATTCTCATAGTAGAATACAATAACTTTTGGATTTGCCAATTCTGGTTGCTTTTCTTGAATTGCGTTGTTCAGTTTGGTTAGTTGTTGAATGTATACATCTGAATTGATCATTTGGTTGCGTGGTAATACTTCAAAGTAGTCAATTCCTTTGCAATCCCACCAAACTGATAATATAACTTTCTTTTGATGAATATCAGCTTTGGATGTTGTTTGCGTCGGTTCATCTTGTTTGCTCCACGATTTTTCCGGTTGATATTGTTGTAATCAACCCATTTTTCATCGCTACTTATCAATCATTTAAAAAATGAATCATTTTCGTTAGGTTTCATAAACAAAGAGCAGATGGCAATGTATTGTGATAAGTAAATTTCTTTAAGTTCATAAGGAACTATAAATCGAGTGTTTTTACGTAGTCAAGTTGTTTTAAACACTTTTCAATGCATGTGATATATCGAACTTCTCTGCAATCACACGTGTTGTGCTATAACGATCTGCATCGATTAATGTTTTGAATTGGGTGTTATTAACTTCACCTAGACGACCAGAGCGTTGTTCACGTTTGAGTAAAAAATCATCGGAACAAAATTTAGCAAACCAATTGACACTGCAGTTCTTTTAAGTTTTCGAGATATTCGGACCGACTGTTTACAGTGGGATACTTTGTATACATACATATCTCGTATAAATCGTCTCAGAAGATTTTACCTTTTGCTCCAATAGTGAATACACGATTACATATGTTTGCACAATCGACTAATCGAGAGAAAAATTAACATCTTACCTTGGTTGTCTGCCTGATAATCGTAGGAGCTCATCAATGAACCAGAAAGGTATTATTTGGAACAATATAAACAATAGGTTGTAGATGTACAGGTTCTTTATGAATACACTTGAGGATACCAAAGTGGATTTTCCACAGGAATTCTTTTTAGACAATTCAGGCAGAAACTTACTAGGTCTTCATATTTTGGACATATATAATGAGATGTCACGCAATTGTATACAAGTGGAAGATTGATCCTCATGTTTCTGTAAAGAATTCGAAACAACTCGTTATATTCTTATGTATTGAATGAGAATAACCAGTACATAAATGAAATGAAAAATTGTGAAAATTGACCAACCAAATTGAGAAAAAAAGTTATGTACCATTTTCCAAAAATCGCAATACATATTAAGTTATTAATGACTGAAAATGACTACATTTAGGGTTTTTTAATTGATAACTTGGAAATTTAGACACTTATTTACAAAATGGTAAAGGACTTTTTGATTTAGAATGACTTAATCTACAATTATATGACAACTATTATGTATAGCGATAGATATGAATATATTGTGCTTTGAACACTGAATCTGGAAACTGTCGTTACAATAACTGTCATATAATTGTAAATTAGGTCATTCTAAACCAAAAAGTTTTTCACTATTTTACCCTTTCACAAATGGCACCATTTTCGAGATTTACTGATCATTACTTTTCTTAAATGGAAATCCCATTTTTTATTACATTATCTTTGTCTACCAATTAATTTTAACAACTTTTGTCTGAAACATTTTTTTATTTGCCTAATATTTTTTGAGATATTTAAGGAAAACTTGATAACTTTTCAATATTTATCTTACGATACCTCGCCATTTGTCGGAAGAAAAAGTAGTACTAGATTTTTTTGCTCTACTTGGTCTCAATAATATGTATATTGTTACAATAGCGCCCTGACTTTTGTTAATCTGATTTTGAAATTCCCAAAAGTTAGTAAGTTAACAAAAGTCAGGGCGCTATTATAACAATATATTCTTGATATTAAATAGAATAGAAAAGTCTAGTACTTTTTTTCCGATAAATAGTTAGCGAGGTATCATGAGTTAAATATTGAAAAGTTACTAAGATTTTCCTTAAATATCTCAAAAAGTATTACAAAAAAAGACAAAAATGTTTCAGATAAAAGTTGTTCAAATTAATTGGTAGAAAAAAATAGTGTAATAAAAAATTGGGGTTTCTACTTAAGGAAAATAATGATCAGTAAATATCTCGAAAATGGCGCTGTCTGTGAACAAATTGAAATAATTGTTGTATGTCCTCCTTGAAACCATACAACTTTTGTCTGAAACATTTCTCCGTATCTTCCATCTTTTTCAAGATATTTGCCTAGGGGATTTAAAATGGGACTCCCTGTATATTCCGTTACTTTTCCCTTCAAAAATTTTAACGATTCTTCTGATCCTCGCTTAATATCATATAATAAAATGGAACTTACGTCTTTCTCACTCCACATTTCCATGATGCAACAATGGCAGATTTGCTGAAGGTATCAACCGGTACGAAGTTATTCTGTATGTTTTTATCTGCATATATTAACTTTAATAGTCCTTTTCCAACGCCGATGAAAAGTGCTACCGGTCCATTAAAATTGTCCATCCATCCTTTTACCGGTTCGCTCAACGTTGCTACAACTGTTAAAATATTAATTTTTTTAGAAAGGTTTGATAATATCAAATAATTAATAAACTGCAAACCTGAGATAAACAGACTGATATTCAAAATTCCATTAATTTATGAAGATAAGTTGTTTAAAAACAAATTCTCGTCCCTTTACGTTTATGTACCTAAGTAATCTGACAGTTTTCTAATTCATGTTTTTTCTAAAAGGATGGTGTTGGTGTACCATGTAGGTGCATAACATCCCCTCCGAGGGATGCTACCTTGTCGTGTTGGAGGGGCTCGGGCGTTCCCGTGATCCACTGGGCAGTACCTCCGGTCCAACCGAAGGGAGGGCCCGGTGGGAAGTACGCCCGCTAAGAGCATCCCAGGGAAGGTTTTGAGACCTCTGAGTGGAATTCCCGACTCAAGATCTCGTTTTCACGAGGGAGGCCTCCCACCCCAAGGGCATAGCCCGCCGGTGCTCCGGCAGCCCGAGGGGTGGATTGGGTCCCTTTTGTGTGGTGTAGGGAGCGCTCCTGAGGGCATTGCACGCCGGTGTTCCGGCAGCCCGAGGGAGCGAGTCACATCTGGGTCTGCACACCGTTAGGGCTTGGGATCCCTCATCGTACCCAGGGGTGGGGGGTTCCGGGCCGCTCAGACATATTCCGAGGTCGGGGCCGGGACCCCCCGTTATGCCCGGTGGATGGGGATCGCATCATCCCTAAACCCATCCACCGGGCGACGACGTTAGGCTGACTGCCGTGAGGAGCGGTCCCGTCGGGGTGCGACGGCGGTGACCTAACTCCTTCCACGGGGCCTCCGCGTGGCGGCGCTACAGAGGTAACCCGGGGTCGAGAAGGGGGCCCCTGAAACCGGCCTGGCCCCAGTGATGGGTCAGGGCGGAAGTAGGGGGCTGGAACCCAGAGACCAGATGTCCTTCCTGGTTCAGAGGTATAGACCGGTTCCCCGGGGGAACTCGGGGACACCACCGGGTCATGTTTTCGGTGGTGCGGGCATGCCCGGCCGGTCGAGCCCTCAGTAGTGGTGGGTTTCAACTCCAATGGTTGAAGTAACTGATACACGGAAGGATAAGAAGAGAAGGAGGAAAAAGATGGGGAGGGATCGTCGAGTGGCTCGGTGGTGGCACCCGCTGAGCTTGAAACATCGGCGGCCTCTACGGTTCTCCTGGAGGAGGATCCAGAGGTTCCGACGATGGCCTTCTACTCCATGGATGGGTGGTTCTTATGGGATCAGAGAGGGATCAAATGGAGAAGGACATAAAGGATATGATCAATGGTGTGGAAAGAGAAGATGAATGATATGAGGAAGCAGGAGAAAGATGGAAGGATTATAAGAAGACGACGAGGAATTTCGTCTGGCGCCTTGCGAATGAGGCCAGGCATTTACACAAGGAGAGAGCCACCCTTAGAAAGGACCTAAGGTAGTGTCGGGAGGAGCTGTCGCAGACCAAGACTGAGCATAGCAGACATTATAGGAAGGATCTATCAGAAATGATAGAAAAAAGAGAAAAGGAATGGGAAAAAGGGAAGAAGGGTAAGGAGAAAGCGGAGATAGATGCGAGGAGAGGAGCTTAGGCTATTTCAGGGCCAGCTTGCCAGATGCCGAGAGGAGCTACAGGAGGCCGTTAAAGCAGGTAAGCGAAGCCGGGGTGAAAATCTCAGAGTGTCATGACAAAGGAAGCGAGCGAGAGACACCTGAGACAGGAAGTGGGAATCCAAAAGGACGAGGAAGGAGGAGGGATTGCGTGGTGGGGGATCTCTGGGCCTGAAGGCCCGATGAAGGCGGATGCGTCTTCTCAGACGAGAATCCCCTTGCCCCCGGGGTGGAACATTGAGGTGCATTACGACGGTCCCTCTGATGAAGAGGGATGAGTGTGTGCCGAGCACCGAAAGAAGAAGAGGAGAAAGGAGCAGGTGAGGCTGGGGATAGGCCGCTGGTCGGTAAGGCGGGCCTGCCCAACCTCAGGATGGGAAACGTGGGAGAGTGGAGGAGGGGTGAACATTGTCCGCCCCTGAACCACCCGCCCTAAGAGAGCATAGAAGAGATGGGAGAGAGTGGATGGACAAGGCTCGGAGGGACTAACCCCACCACCCCCAGCCCCCGCACCCTCTCTGCAGGGAAGGAAATGGCCACGGTTTCCTAGTATCGCGGTGGTAACGGTGAAGCTGGCTAGGGGGGCCTCCTATGCGGAGGCCCTTAGGCGAGCAGAGGAGATTCCCCTCGGGGACATGGGGATCCTGGGCGTGGACGTGGGGCGTAGCGCCGATGGCGCATTATTAGTCCGCGTCCAGGAAGATGCGTCTAAGACCCAGCCCCTAGGGGAAGAAAGGCGGATGCCTTGGCTGAACGCCTGAAGACGTTGCTGTCAGATGTGACTGTGAATCGTCCGGTGCAGAAGGGGGAGGTTCGTCTGGCCGGATTTAACGAGGCGGCCTCCCCAGATGCGGTTAGGACGGCTTTAGCTGGCTGCGCGGGTTGTGTGTCAGAAGCCATCCAGTTCGGCCCGCTGAGGTGGGGTCTCAGGGGCCGGGGGGTAGCATAGGCCCGCCTGCCTCTGGTGGCGCGGTGGCGGCTGCCAGGAGGGGTGGATTTGCGCTGGGCTGGTCGGCCGTCAGCGTCACCCTGCTGGCGGCGAGGCCGGCCCAGTGCTTCAAATGCTGGGGCCTCGGTCACACGCGAAGTAGCTGTACGGCTTCCGTTGACCGCGGAGGCCTCTGCTATCGATATGGCCGGGGCGGGCACGCCGCGCGGGAGTGTAATAACGCTCTACATTGCGCGGTGTGCCAAGAGGCCGGTAGGGAGGCCGGTCACCGCATGGCAGGGCCTGCGTGTTGGCTGGCCTCCCAGCGGAAGGGGGCGGTGGATGCATTAGGCGTTCACGCGGCCGCCCTCCCAACATGGGATCTGTGGGGGCGGGCACGTTTTAGTGTCCGCCCTAAAGGGGGGGTTTTTCTTTAAACCGTCAGCTTCGGCTGACGGTAGTGGTGGGCGCGTTTAGCGCCCATAGACATGGGTGAGCGCCGGGGGCACTGGCTGGGGCGGGTGTGTTTCCCATGTGCCGCGGGTTGAGCCTGGCACTTGCCTCTGACCGGCTCCTGGGTGCTGTGAGCCCGGTGGGGTATGTGGTCTTCCGCTGCTGGCTGGACGGGATTGGTTGCCCTGTCCGGTTGCAGCGGTTAATTCTCTCCCGTGGCATCGGAGGGGGGCAGGTTTTTTCTCTCCCCTGGTGCGTGCCGCCCCTGGGGGTGGGGGTTTGCCCCTCCTTGGGCCTCGGGGGAGATTTTGGAGAGGTGGGGACAACCGGCGGGGGTTCCGGGCCTACCTCTTCGCCCACCCCACTCCGAACATCCGGAGTGGGGGAGAGGGGGTTGGAGATCCCCCTCCCTCGCCGGCCAAGCAGCTTTGGTCGGCGGCGAGATAGTAAATATCCCGCCTCACCGCGCGTCGCAATATGGACGGCGATCCTTGTCCGGATCGGTTTGTGAGGAATCTCGCCCAGGGAGAGGTTCGCTCCCTAGAGGGCCGAGCATGGTAGTACTCCCCCTTCCAGGACAGGAGTGAAGGATACGGTACTGGGCTTGCACGGGAACGGCGATGAGCGCATGCTTTTGCCTCTAGAGGTAGAGACTGCTCTCTCTTCCTCTCCTAGTCACCCCCCTTCATTAAAGTCTGCGGCGCGCGGTAGCCGGAGCGAAGCTCTTAAGAGCGTGGCCGGCATGGTTGTATAGGGACAAGTAATGGGTGACCCGTTCGGCCCCACTCATGCATAATATGCCCGATGGCAGGTCTCCCCCAGGAGTTTTAGTGGGTGCGAGTCCCACATAACCTCCGTTCTTCCTCGAGGACGGAGGTACCCATAGGGGTTTCTCCTAGGTGATAAAAAAAAGAAAAAAAGTTGCATAACGTGCATAACAATATTATGAATGTTCCTCATTGGAAAACGACTGTTGTGAAGAACTACAAGTCATTTATGTATCGTGAGAGTCCAATTCAGGATTTAAACTCGATGATAGAAACATATAGTCTATACGTTGAAAAGGATTAATTGAAACGTATTTCAAAACCGGAAAAACCATAATTTCTGAATCTTAGAAACAAATTTGATAGTCAAGAGATCCTATATTCTTCAAGCAAAATAATTTTGTTTTGTTGATTGCATCGTTAACATATGTAAATTATTTTTCTCCGTGCAAAATTTGTATAACAAGCGATATGAATAATAAGCAGTATATTTGTTAAAAACAGCATACCTATGGATGGCCTCAAAATTACACACGGCAACGACTCAGAGTAATCGACTATCACTTGCTCGGCGAGTTTCTTGGAAAATACGTAGCTATTCGGCATACAGCCCGTGTACCTGTCAATAATTCCATTTGCAAGTGTTTTAAATTTTTCAAGAATATATTCTAAATCTGTCATAAGCGATCGTTTTGATGCAACATATCACTTTAGATGAAATCAACTAAATTTGCTAACGATTTGAGAACATAAATTATCTCATTTTATTAATATATTTTAAATTTATCAGATATATTAGATGCGCAACTAAGTTCCCGCTGTTTTTCAAGAGATGGCTCCAGTAGTAAGTGCTGGTCGATTGTGGCATAACCAAAACGTCATGAACCGAGCTTAGACATATGGTAAACAAACCGCTTTGACACATTAGTGATTTTGTTTTTGCGTCATATACTTTTGGTTGTGTGAAAATGTATGATTTTGTGCCAAATAATCGTCATTTGCGGGAAGTGTTGCTTTTCTTCTTTCATTCGAAGAAAACGGCGGCTGAAGCGCATCGAGAACTCCAAAAAGTTTACGGAGATGCTGCTCTAAGTGAAACAACGTGCCGTGATTGGTTCCGTCGCTTCAAAGACGGTGATTTCGATGTTGACGACCGTTCGCGTGAAGGAAGGCCAAAAACCTTCGAAGACGCTGAATTGGAGGCATTGCTCGATGAGGATCCGTGCCAAACGCAAAAAGAGCTTGCTTCAGCATTAGGAGTTACCCGCCAAGCCATTTCCAAGCGATTGCATGCGTTAGGAATGATTCAAAAACAAGGAACTTGGGTTCCTTACGATTTGAAGCCAAGAGACGTTGAGCGTCGTTTCTTCGCCTGTGAACAACTGCTCCAGCGACAAAAAAGGAAGGGTTTTCTTCATCGTATCGTTACGGGTGATGAAAAATGGATTCATTACAGCAACCCAAAGAGAACAAAATCATGGGGACTGCCCGGTCATGCTTCTACGTCGTCGGCTCGGCCGAATATTCACGCTGCGAAGGTTTTGCTGTGTATTTGGTGGGACCAGGGCGGTGTTATTTATTATGAGCTGTTGAAACCGAACGATACCATCACTGGGGAACGGTATCGAACTCAATTGATGCGATTGAGCCGAGCACTGCGCGAAAAGCGGCCACAATACGAGCAGAGGCACGAAAAAGTGATTCTACAGCATGACAACGCTCGGCCTCACGTTGTCAAACCCGTTAAAACCTACTTAGAAACGCTCAAATGGGAAGTCCTACCCCACCCGCCATATTCCCCAGATATTGCGCCGTCCGATTATTACTTGTTCCGTTCGATGGCACATGGTCTGGCTAATCAGCAGTTCCGCTCATATGAAGACATCTCAAAATGGCTTGATTCGTGGATAGCCTCAAAAGACGAACACTTCTACCGTGACGGTATTCGAGCTCTGCCAGAAAGATGGGAAAAAGTTGTCGCTAGCGATGGGCAATATTTTGAATGATTCACTTGTAACCATTTTTTCACAATAAAGTTGCATTTTCATAAAAAAAAAACAGCGAGAACTTAGTTGCGCACCTAATACATATGTGATATCCTCGATGAAGCACTTAGTATATACAGCGTAGATACCGGTTTCTATACTTACTTTGACTTAAACACTTCCAACAGTTGTTCGTCCAAAGTCTCGACGACTTGAATCATTTTCTTCCAATCGACTTCCGCTGGATACACGATTTCATCAATAACGTGTTTGTCGAGTTGTGAGTATACCGTGCTGACATATACGAGAGCCTTTAAGGAATACAGTTAAATACATATACATAATAATGTCTGATAATTTTCTAGTTAAGTATCTTATTGGTATTTTTATAAAAAAAATATCGGAATTTCCAATATAAGAAAAAATTTACATCGCAATTTTCTCTTTCCTTCACACATACGTATGCAAGTACATGCCTTTAAATTTAATATAGTATCTACTTACCACTAGATTCTTCATATGTTCACCTAAAATACATATATCTCTTGTAGCTTTTACGTTCTGGAGCACCGACATTCTCAGAGTAATATCGAATCTCACGTTCGCCGCTATATGGAATATTACAGACGTCTTCTGGATTAGCATGTTTCTATCGGTGTCTGACAAATCCAGATTCTCAATAGCAATGTCACCTTTTACGGGAATCAATTTGTCGAAACAATGGGGTTGCTCACGCCGCAATGTATGAAACAACTAAACCACACAACACAACACATGATGAAAATCATACTTTGCGACATTGTCAATTATAAATAGTGAATTTACCGGGTTGGTCAGCAGCTTTCGGAGGCGTTCTTCTATATTCACGTCTTTCTTCGGGCGCATTAACAGAAATATCTCTTTTATATCAGGACACGACCTCAACAGTTTTTCTATTAATGATTTTCCTAAAAACCCCGTAGCACCAGTAATGAAAACGCTTTTTCCGGAATAGAAGGCCGGTATCGAACACAGCGAATCCATTGTGATTTTAAGGATGAAAATGCCAAATGTAATAATCACTAGAAAGAACTTATTAATTGAAGCGTAAGGGAATTTTTATGTGGTGTTTTATGTGGTAAAGTTTGCGAATTTTATCAAATGATAATCAATAGATGAGTTGAGAAGGTTGTGGATACACGAGTTACAACAGCTAAGTCTGATTTGCAACTGCAACGTTCTTTTAAGAGAACAATAACGATTATTCATTCTGATAATTCTGTATGGTCATCGTTCAGTCATCGTGAATATTTATGTGAATATTATACCACAGGTCATCGATTTATTCACCCATATTCATTATTCTCTACCGCGTATATTATGAAATTTTGCTTGCCTATTGAATTCTAATCAGTTCGTGAAGAACGTTCGTGAAAGTCGTTCCAGAGTGTCCCTTTGCATAAATTTTGCATAATTCCTTCTTGCAGTGTAACTATTGCTATATACGACATCATTATTACATTGCTACTGCGAATAGTCCTGCAAATTTATTTTTTGTGTAACTTACAAGGGACATTCGGCAACGCGGAAATTCAATAAAATCTGAAACTCTGCATAATTGTAGAGCAGATATACCTAATAACAAAACAATTTTTCGTTGGTGCCCAAAAACGGTTTTTGGGTTGGAAACAACCCCTTGAACAAAGTTGATTTTTGTCTTTCTAAGCGAATATTATCGAAACTATTAAAGATATGAAAAAATGTTTTAGACAAAAGTTTTATGGTTTTAAAAGTACTTTATTATGCTGTATTTAGATTTTTTAAAAATGTAAAATTGTATATAAAATACCCCCCCTCCTTCTCTTTTTTCAAATTGTTAAAATCAATTGTCCAACCAAAATAAAGCTTATTTTATGACAAATGCAACCATATATAATAACATTATGTTTGGAAAAGGCAATATTGAAAAAAAAATTAAACATGCTCTTATATGTATGCTACGCGTACCAAACTTAAGGATTCGCTACTTGACGATGGCATTTCTTTCTTCCTCAAATCTTCCTCATAATTGCAAACTGTAAAAGATAAGGAAGGAAGAAAATAGAAAATCTAAAAAAGCAATAAAGTTGATGTTAAGAAGTAAGTAGGAGAAAAATAGCATGATAAGGATACAGTCACTAATATTTAAAAATGTTATAAATTATAAAATTTCACGTAATAGACGTTTATTTTGCCAACATTGCGGCTACCTTTTTCATTAATTTAAACGACACGCGTAAATATAAATAAATATGTGTGTGTGTGTATGTGTGTTTTTGTACGTGCGCACGTGTGTGTACATCATGGCAACATGCAAAACACTTGTCACAAGTTTTATGACTGTGCGACCAAAATAGCACTCTTTATCAAGTACAGTGCAATCAAGGTTCATTATATTGACATATGTTATCTTCATTCATTTGCATATAAAAGCTGTCCATTTTGGAATACATTTCAGTGTTATTGAAGCAGTTATTGAAGCAGTACGTATATTATTATTGCTGTGAGAAATGTTTAATTAAAATATCCTTAAGATTTGTATCATAATGTCAGTAATAAATCCAGCTAATGTTATTAATTTGTTAATTGCGACATTTCATTTCACAAATATTGCAATAACTCCTGTTAATCATCAAGAGGTGGAACTCCATGATACAATTACTGATTTAATAAAGAGTGCTATACATCACGATATTACGATCGAACATGAGTGGGGACTTGATTTTGACGATCCATCAGAACCGCATGACGTACAATTTGTAGATGTGTACGATATTGATGCTGAAGAAGATAATTATGGAAATGAAGTTTGCACTGTGGATGATGAAGGTGGAAATGTAAACTTAAATTATAAGAAAAAGGCAATCGAATTTTGGAAGAGTGGAAAGAAAGGACATTTATCTCTTACTTCTGTACAACATCGTTTTAGAAAAGTAAAGTTTAATTAAAAAATAAGAAGAATAATATATAGTAAAATACTTGAGGCTTTTACGGTGTACAGTGACCGGCAGTGATTCGTTCCGCGACAGAGAGAACTCTATTTCCCCTCTCGCGGAACGCATCATTGTCGGTCATTGTACATACAGCTTTGACTATAAGTATAAAGCATCCCAAAAAATTTATTTAAATTGTGTAACAAAAACATACTATATGAATATATGGAGAACATAATATAGTATACGAGTATATGGAAAAATAATATAATAAAAAAATATAATATAAGAATATGTGGAAAATAATATTTATTTTACAATATTTATTGTAATATAATATAATATTAATATAATATAAATTATAATATAAATATAATATACATAAATATAATATACACATTATATTATAAAATATTAATATAATATTTATTGTAAAGAGATTATATATTTACTATGAGTATATGCATTGATTTCTAGGAAAATACAATGAGTTAGAGATGCTTTATACTTATGACCAAAGCTGTAAATTATATAGTTAGAGTCGCGTTGTTTTTTATTTTAAGTTTTACAATTTGATGTTTCGTGAACATTTAATTCGTATATAACTTCTTTTATTTTTGAATTCGAATTGTTTAATATTGAGATTCGTTTTCTTCTAGGTAAAATCTATTCAACAATTGCACAGATGGCAAGAACATGTAATGCGTGGGGGTTCAAATACAGACAAACTTGTAGTTATTGCTGAATATGTTCTTATAAAATTCCAAGAAGCTGTTAATAGAGGACTTATTATTCATGATATAAATCTGCGAAAATGGGTACTAGAAGCAAAGGAACAAGTGGATTTTTCTTCATTTAAAGCAGGAAATTGGTGGATATGGAATTTTAAAAAGGCACATCGTATTACATCACGTAAAATAACTGCATTTAAAACGCGGTCTTCTCATTTAACTGATCTAACTATACGTCAACACGCTGAGGAATTTGTAAATACAGTAAAGCCACATATTAATGTGATCGGTGCTGAATCAACTTATAATGCGGACGAAAGTGGCTTTAATTTAGAAATACATGCAGGAAGAACATTAGCTAATGTAGGAGTGAAGACAGTTGGAGCTACTATCCAATCTTTATCTGCTATGACTCATAGCTACACCATTATGCCTATTATATCTGCAGATGGACATCTCCTTTCGCCTTTGTATATAGTATTAAAAGAATCTACTGGTGTTTTTGGACCACAAGTAGAACAAACTCTTTTTAGACCAGTGAATATTTACATTGCGGCTTCAAAATCAGGGAAATTGACAACTGAACATTTCAAAAATTGGTTCCAAGAAGTGTATCTAACAAACACTGGAGAGAAAAGTATACTACTGCTTGATTCATGGACAGGACATTGCCCGAACCAATTGGAAGAACTTGTACCAAAAGACAAACATGTAAATATTCTAACAATACCAAAAAAAACAACTGCTTTTATACAGCCATTAGATGTTTTTGGTTTCAGAATCTGGAAAAATTTTGTTCGAAGCTTTTCTGATAGTGTTATTATAAATAATTATGACATAAATTTACATTTACGTAATAACATAATAAAATTGCAATCTTTAACACACAATCAACTGTCTTCTCCAAGATTTCGAAATTTATTTAGATATAGCTGGTATAAAAGTGGTTATTTATCAACACGGCCTGAAAAATTTCATAATCCAATCGATTATTGTTATTTTAAAGAAGAAAAACGTATACCAAAATGTAGCATTTGTGGTAAAATGGCTTTTATACGTTGTGCATGGTGCAAGCAATATTTTTGTTTTGAACATTTCTTTGAGCAATATCATTATTGTAATAATTATATAGAATAAATAATATTTTACTGTCCTCAATTCCTGTAAAATTTGTATATATTATAATCCATACCAAAATATAAGATATCTTTCACTCGAATATCTATATCGACTACTTAATTAATAAAACCTATATACTGAATGAAGCAAAACACATACACACAAATGTACACTGAATAAATTTATAAATTATATTTTTCATTATTAAATCCGTGTGTGTTCTCTTTTTTTCTTCATATCATTCATTTCCTTATTTGTTCTTTACAATTGAATTTAAAAGATTATCTATATTAGGGTTATATACACTCTCTCTGCGTCCTCCTTATCATGCTGTTCTTCTTCAACTTACTTCTTAACATCAACTTTATTCTTTTCTTAGATTACCTGTTTTTATTCCTTCCTTACCTTTTACAGTCAGTAATTATGAGGGAGAAAGAAATGCCATCGTCAAGCAGCTAACCCATAAGTTTGGTACGCGTAGCATATATATAAGAGCATTTTTAATTTTTTTTTCAATATTGCCTTTTCCAAACATAATGTTATTATATATGGTTGAATTTGTCATAAAATAAGCTTTATTTTGGTTGGACAATTGATTTTAACAATTTGAAAAAAGAGAAGGAGGGGGAGTATTTTATACACAATTTTACATTTTTAAAAAATCTAAATATAGCATAATAAAGTACTTTTAAAACCATAAAACTTTTGTCTAAAACATTTTTTCATATCTTTAATAGTTTCGATAATATTCGCTTAGAAAGACAAAAATCAACTTTGTTCAAGGGGTTGTTTCCACCCTTAAAACCGTTTTTGGGCACCAACGAAAAATTGTTTTGTTATTAGGTATATCTGCTCTACAATTATGCAGAGTTTCAGATTTTTTTGAATTTCCGCGTTGCCGAATGTCCCTTGTTAGTGTAATCATAGTGTTGAAGTTTTAGAGATTTTGTCGGAGGACATAAAAATTGGAATATTCGATATCACATATATATTATATATGTACGTATCATTAGAAATCAGAAATATCGTGCAAATGTCTCTATAGATATATATAATATAGTACTTGTTAATCAGACACATTACATTAATGTTGAGCCAATTTATAAAAATATCATTTTTCATTCAATGCAGATTTATTTATCCTTTTGCGTATTTCATAAATGCGATCGTAACTCTTAATATATCTTGCGAGATATTATAAAAACATCAAGATATTTTATTAAACATGATCATAATGGAAATTTTCCCTTTTATATATTTGTACCATTTTTCAGACAAAATTAAGATATCCGTCAAATAAACATGAAAATTATTTCACAAAGTTTATAATATAAATCCATACGAGGCATTCCTTAACCACTCACTCATGCCACACGAATTTCGGGATTTGATATTT